GTGTTTGTTGTAACTTTTGTATATAATGTATCAAATCAGTAGTTGTTTAATGAGTTTCGATTTGACATCAATATTACATAATAGTTGTACTTATATATAATAAAAATTATATTATGTACTAATATTAACTAATAAAATGTTTTTTCAATTAAATAAATTATTTATAAAGTCACTATAGGACATAAGTCACAAACTTTATTACAATATAAAACATGTTAGTCGTACAAGCAAGGGATGGTTTTAAATATAACTAATACTATATCTTTATGAAAATATCTTTATGAAAATATTTTAAATTAATACAAAAAATTCTTTATTTTATTTTATTTTTAAAAATATTTAAGTATCAAATTTTTAACTAGCTACCATATACATAATTAATATTTATTGAGTTAAAGTTGTACAATGTTGACATCTTTAAAAGTTTCGAATTTTGATTTTTGACAGCTTGGTTTCCACATTTCAAATTTATCTCTTGTTTTTTTATGTCAAATCAATTTTAATTATTTTATTTTAAATATTATTTTAATATATTCTTAAAATTCCACTACAACTAATCATACCACCTTTTTCAAAATTAACTATGGTTAACCAAAATAACTCAATTTGAACAAATTATTTCATAAATAATTAATCAACCCCTTATCCCGCTAAACATTGGGAAATGCTAAGGTCCCGTTACGGAACTATTCCAAAGTTTGTAACCGTTAGACCATCTGAGATAGTTGATCTAACGGTTACAAATCACGACGAAATCGTTCCGTAATAGCATCTTCCCTAAACATTATTGAGATAAGGCGCTACGTTCCATGTGCCAAATCTGCATGAATCCTCGTTTTTGCTTGTATCTATTTTACTTGGACAAAATTTGAGACCAGACGCACTATCTTATAGAAACTATACCTCGTGTTTCAAATAACAATAATATTGACAATAATTATTTCACAAATTCACAATAATATTTATGAAAAAAATATCTTTTTTTTTTTCTTTGTTGTGGGACAACACAAATTTTCATACATGCAATTTACATAACCAGGTTAAATTATTATATCAATTTTTCATAGGTAAATAAATTACAAAAACACAAACACTTGTATGTAAGTAATTTAATTGTCATATTTTTTTGAATAAAAAATGCATATTATGAAATATTACAATTTTAACATTTTAATTTCAAATTATACATATTTATGATCGTCTGTCCGTTAGACTTGTCCAATAATACCATTATTGCTGGTTATGAAAATACATAATGACGATTGGATTTGCAGGAGAAAAAAAAAAATTTCTTTATTTGGGTGAATAATAATCTCTATAATCTCGAACCATAAATTGCTCTAATTACTTTTAAGCAAAAGCATTATAAAGGAAACAAGATTATGAATTCTAACCACCCTCCACACCTATACATCAAATTACACAAATTTTGCTATTAAGTTGACTGATGGTGCATATTTTTTATATATATATAAAATTATAATTAATTATGAAATATTAAATTTAATATATATTATTTTTTTATATTATTATTTTTCATAGTCAAAATTACATTTTTAGTCCAACTGGTTTAACGCGTAGCATTTTTAATCTCAAGATTTTAACTTTTAATCTTTTGATCATGTAATTTAGTATTTTGCTGAAATTTCAGTCATTCGGGAAAGAAAATGCAACAAAATTTAAAATTACAGGATTTTTTTATTAGCATTTTAAGTCCTGTAATGAAAGATTTATTATTAGCATTTTAAGTTCCGTAATTTTAATTTTGTTGCATTTTCTATCCCAAATGACGGAAATTGAGTTGAATTTTAGAATCATGAGACCAAGTGGCAAAAATGTTCAATTCTTAAGACTAAAAATGCCACTAGATCAAACTAACGGGATGAAAATTACAATTTTGCCTTTTTTTTTTAAAAAAAAATATACCATTAATTTTAGATTGTTTGACAACAATATTGCGATGAAATTATTATGAATGGCAAATACTAATCCATCCATAAAAGGATATAAATATAAAATTTCATCACATTTGAGCCCAAAAGCAATAATGGATTGAAATAATAATGAAAATATTTTTGAAAATAGAAAAGGGAAATTTTTCTTTATTACGTGTTTGTCTATTTTTGATTTAGTTTTTCCATTTTATTTTAATGGCAGTATATTAGGTCACTGTGCGTGTGATTTTTCATCGTCTTCCTCATCCTTCTCTCATTCAATGCTCAACCGAACTCAACGCCACCACCATTTTTCTCTTCAAATTCAATCCTTTTCTCCATCACCTCTCCACCTAACAACTCAGGTGCTTAATTTACAGCCATTTTTTTATTTTTTTTTTATTTTTTTTTAATTTCAATTTCTTTCAATTTATGGTGCGCGCCATGTGTTTGTCTAATTGCGCATGTGGGATTTATTAACATTTTTTTTTTTGGGGGTTTCTGTAGGAAATGGAACCGGTTTACGGAAGTGGGTTCGACCCGAATGCGGCAAAAATCACGGCGGCGGTCTGTGATTTGACCGGCGGCGGCCCGGGGGACGACCTGTTCGTCGACGGACTCCTCGATTTTTCAAATGGGTTTTCGGAAACGGAAGAGCCGCCGTTTCCGCCGCCGTCGGCGGCGGGGGATGAACACGAGAAGAGGGGAATCGCCCCTGTTTCTCACGAGAAGCAAGAACCGCCGGCGCCGGAGAACTGTTCTTTCGTCGCCGGCGACGATTTTGGGTCTCTGCACGAGAGCGAGCTCAGTTTCCAGGTAAGCGTTAACCCTCAGTTTTGGAAATTTTTCAATTTTGAAATTTGAAAAAAAGGGAGTTTAATTTTTATTTTATTTTATTTTATTTTTTTTTTTCATAAATTTTAAGTACTATTTTTGGGGGAAAAATAAAATTTTTATTTGCAGGGGGAGAGTTTGGAGAGTCTTGAATGGCTGTCGCATATCGTGGAGGACTCGTTTCCGGATTACTCCCTCGCCGGCAAATTCCCAGCGGTAAACCGGTTCGAACAGCCGCCGCCGCCGCTGGCGGCGGAGTGCTTCGCAACTCCGGTTCAGACCAAGGCCCGAACAAAGCGGGCCCGTACGGGAGTCCGCGTCTGGCCCGTTCTCTCCCCTTCCTTTGCGGAGCCAGATACCTCATCCTCTTCCTCAGCCTCCTCAGCAACCTCGTCCTTGCCGCCGAGCAAGAGGAGGGCGAGGACGGCCGCCGGAGGCGGGGCCGCGGCTGCGCTGAGGAGGTGCACTCACTGTGGGGTCACCAGGACGCCGCAGTGGCGGGCCGGGCCGTGCGGGCCCAAGACGCTCTGCAACGCCTGCGGGGTGAGGTACAAGTCAGGCCGGCTGTTGCCGGAGTACAGGCCCGCATGCAGCCCGACTTTCTCGATCGAGCTGCACTCGAACAACCACCGGAAAGTGATGGAGATGCGGAGGATGAAGGAGGTGGAGACGGAAGGGACCGGTCTGCCGCCACCGGTTCAGAGTTTCTAAAGTGTCGTTTTTTACTAGGCTTTAATTATTATTATTAGGTTGTAAAAGGGCCAAAAAGAAAAAAAGGAAAAAAAAAAAGCAGTTAAAGGAGAGAAGTCACTAGGGAGATTTCAAATTCTAATTATATCCGTAATATGTCTGTAAATTGGTAGAAATGAATCGAGTGATGATGAGAGAAAGTAAGATTGAGTTATGAAAACCGGAGTTATAAACCCGGTTTAGGTTAAGTGGACCCGGTTCGGACAATGTATTATTATTTTCAAGGACCCATGGTTGTTGAGGTAGGTTACCAGGCAGTGTAGTGATGAAAAAGGACTTGAAATTTTTCTTTGTAATGTCAACCTAATTTCCATTGTCTCTTTTCAAATCTTCTATTTTTTGGTTAGCAACTAGTATTTGATCTTGTGCATTTGTACAGATATAAAACACGTTTTTTTTTGTATTTATTAATTAGATATGTAGTTCTATCATATAAAAGTTATTATTTTTTCTCAAGTTATTTTTATCAATCAAAATTAATTGAAATTAAATTTTATTTTAACCATGCAACATTTACACTAGTAGCATGAATAAAATAATTTATATATTTGTGACATATATTAAGAAAATTAACATAAATAAAAAAATTATTGGTGTTTCTGATTTTAGAAAAAATAAAAATATGTATCAATCATATTTTCTTTCAACAATGCAACCAAATATAGCGATTACAACTTTGAATGTGTCAATCAACTTTAAGTTCCAACATTAGCCGTTACAAATTTGAATATTTTGCTATCAAATTTAGAATTCATTTAGTAACTGGTCAAAATAATAATAATA